CGAGCACACACACACCTTCTACACACCACACACACACACACACACACACCACCCACACACACACACACCTCCCTACACACACACACTCCCCTCACACACACACCACCTACACACACACACTCCCCTACACACACCACACCACACCTCCCCTATATAACACACACACCACACCTCCCTACACCCACACACCCACACATACCTCCCCACACACACACACACCTCCCCTACACACACACACCTCACCACACACACACCTCCCTCCCCTACACACACACCACACACACCTCCTATATCTACACACACACACCCCCCTACAACACACACACACATACCTCCCCTACAACACACACCTCCCTTACACACACACATCCTTCCTACACACACACACCTCCCCTACACACACACACCACCCTCCCATACACACACACACCTTCCTACACCACATACACACACAGACACACACACACATCTTCCTTGCACAGACACACCTTCCCTACACACACACATACACACACACACACACACACACACACACACCACCACCACACACACACACATACACACACACACACACACACCTCCCCTACACCAACCTCCCCTACAAACCTCCCCTACAACAACCTCCCCTACACCACCTCTCTTTCACACACATACATCACTCTCCTATACACACCACCCACACACACACATACACCTCCCCAAACACACCACAACACCTTCCCTACACACCACACCTCCCATACACACACACACACACATACACACCTCCCCTGCACACACACACACACACCTTCATATACACACTCCTCCACTTCACACACACACACACACACACACACACACACACACACACCTCCTCTACATGCACACACCTCCCCTACACACACACATCTTCCCTACACACACACACACACACACACACACACACACCTCCCCTACACACACACACAGACACACACACAAACACACACATACACACACCTTCCCTACACACACACACGCGCACACACACACACATACACACACACAAACACACACACCCACACACATATGCACACACACAAAACCTCCCCTACACACACACAACACCTCCCCTACACACACACACACCTCCCCTATATACAGACACCTCCCTACACACATCTCCCTACACACACTCACTATCCCTACACACACACACACCTCCCCTGCACACACACAACACACACACACCCCACCCCTACACAACACACACACCACTCTACACACACCCCTTTCACAATACAGCACCTCCCGTACACACACACCTCCTACACACACTTCCCTTTCACACATACACGCACCTCCGTACACACACCCACTCCGTGCACACACACACACACCTCTACACATACACACCTCCCCTACACACACACGCACACACACACACACACACCTCCCTTACACACACACACAGACACACACACACAGAACACACACACACACACCACACACACACACACACACACAACACATACACACACACACACCTCCCTGCGCACACACACACCTTTCCTGCACACACACACACACACACACACAACCTCCCCTACACAACACACACACACACACCTCCCCTATTCACACACATACACACCTCCCCTACACAACTCACACCATACCTCCCCTACACACACACACCTCCCATACACACACCCACCTTCCCTACACACACACACACAGAAACACCACATCTTCCTTGCACAGACACACCTTTCCTACACACACACACACACACACATACAAACACACACACACACACATACACCACACACACACCACACACACACACACACAAACACACAAACACACACATCCCCTACACACACCTCCTCTACACACACACCTCTACACACAACACTCTACACACACACCTCTACACACACACCTCTACACACACACCTACTACACCACACACCTCTACACACACACCTCTACACACACACCTCTACACACACACCTCTACACACACACCTCTACACACACACCTCTACACACACACCTCTACACACACACCTCTACACACACCTCCCCTACACACACATATCTCCCTAGAGCCTACAAGACTAGAAAATACGCTGGACCTCATCCTCACTAACAATGAAGATCTGATACGTAATATAACTGTATCAAAAACAATACATTCAGATCAACATAATAGAGGTACAGACATATATGCACAGATCTCCTGACCAGCAAAATATGAGCAGTCATGAAGGTCTCTTCACGAAATTAAATTTCAATAACAAAACCAAGTATACCATGTCCTAAATGAAACAAGCTGGGAAGATATCCTAACCAACACGGATCCGAACATTTGCCTTGAAAAAATGAATTCTGTGGTTCTTGAGATCTGGTCAAGACAAATTCCATTAAGAAAAAGAAAGAGAAGATGCAAACTAGAAAGAGAGAGACGTTCCCTATACAGACGAAGGCCAAGAGTCATAGTGCTGCTGAGTGGGCCAATATATCTGAAATACAAAGGGAGGCACTAGTCAATGAAATTGCAAATATAAAGCTTAAGCTGAAGGAATCTTACAAGGGACAAAAATCACAGGAAGAACTGAAAGCCATAAAGGAAATTGAAAAAAAAAATACTTTTTTTCTCTTATACCAAATCTAAGGGAAAAACAAAATCAAGTATTGGGCCCCTGCTTAGGCGAGATGGGACATACACAGATGACAGCCAATAAATGAGTGAGATACTACAGTCCCAATATAACTCAGTGTTCAGCGAGCCACTGCCCAGACTAAGGGTCGATAATCCAAATAAAGTCTTTATGAACGAAACCCAAAATTTGGTCATCTCAAAAATCTCGGATATTATTCTAACTCTACAAGACTTTGAAGAGGTAATAAATGACATGCCCATGCACTCTGCTCCAGGCCCAGACTCATGGAACTCAGTGTTCATCAAGAATTGCAAGAAATCCTTATCGCGTGCCTTCAGCATTTTATGGGAGTATGGACACAGGGGTCATTCCACTCCCACTAAAAACAACAGCCACAGCCCCACTCCACAAAGATGGTAATAAAGCAATTGCAAAGAACCACGGACCGATAGCACTAACATCTCATATCATATAAATCTTTGAGAGGGTTCTAAGAAGTAAGATCACCAACCACCTAGCTATCCATGAGTTACACAACTCAGGGCAACACGAGTTTACAGCGGGTCGCTCCTGCCTTTCCCAGCTACTGGACCACTATGACAAGGTCCTGGATGCTGTAGACACAAAATATAGATGTAGTATACACAGACTTTGCAAAAACCTTCGACAAGTGTGACCATGGTGTAATAGCACACAAAATGCGTGATAAAGGAATAACAGGAAAAGTTGGTAGATGGATCTACAACTTCCTGACAAATAGAACACAAAGAGTAATAGTAAACAGAGTAAAGTCTGAGGCAGCTGCGGCAAAAAGCTCTGTTCCACAAGGCACAATACTCGCTCCCATCCTATTCCTCATCCTCATATCTGACATAGACAGAGATGTAAGCCATAGCTCCGTGTCTTCCTTTGCGGATGACACCCGGATTACCATGGGAGTGACCTCCATCGAAGACACTGCAAGACTCCAAACGGACATCAACCAAATCTTCGAATGGGCCACTCAAAACAATATGAAGTTCAACGAGGAGAATTTCAACTACTTGAAGAAATTAAAAATGTATCATCGTATACGATAAATTCTAACCATACAATAGAGCGGAAAAGTAATGTGAAGGACCTGGAAGTGATAATGTCAGAGGATCTCGCCTTCAAAGACCACATATATCTTCCTCATCTGCTACGAAAATGATAGGATGGATAATGAGAACCTTCAAAACTAGGGACGCCAGGCCCATGATGATTCTCTTGAAATCGCTTGTGCTCTCTAGGCTGGAATACTGCTGTACACTAACTGCCCCCTTCAAGGCTGGCGACATTGCAGACTTGGAGAGTGTACAAAGAACTTTCATGGCCTCCATAAGTACGATAAAGCACCTAAACTACTGGAAACGGTTGAAGGTCCTTGATCTGTATTCTCTCGAACGCAGGCGAGAAAGATACATGATAATATACACTTGGAAGGTCCTGGAGGGATTGGCACCAAACCTGCACACGAAAATCACTCCATGTGAAAGCAAAAGACTCGGCAGAAGATACAACATTCCCCCGATGAAAAGCAGGGGTGCCACGAGTACACTGAGAGACAACACAATATGTGTCCAGGGCCCAAGACTGTTCAATTGCCTCCCAGCATACGTAAGAAGGATTACCAATAGACCCCTGACTGTCTTCAAGAAGGCACTGGACAGTCACCTAAAGTCAGTACCTGACCAACCTGGCTGTGGTTCGTACGTCAGCTTGCGTGCGGCCAGCAGTAACAGCCTGGTTGATCAGACCCTGATCCACGATGAGGCCTGGTTTCAGACCGGGCCGTGGGGGCGTTGATCCCCGAAACCCTCTCCAGGTAAACTCCAGGTACACGCACACACACCTTCCTACACACATGCCTCCCCTACACACACACACACCTCTCTTACACAGACACACACACACACCTCCCCTACACACACACACACCTCCCCTACACACACACACACCTCCCCTACACACACACACACACCTCCCCTACACACACACACACACACACCTCCCCTACACACACACACACCACCTCCCCTACACACACACACACACACACACACCTCCCCTACACACACACACACACCTCCCCTACACACACACACACACACACACCTCCCCTACACACACACACACACCTCCCCTCACACACACACACACACACACACACAACACACACACCTCCCCTACACACACACACTCCTCTCCTACACACCTCTCCCATACTCACACACCTCCCTTACACACACAAACACCCCATACCTCCCCTAAACACCACACACACACACACACTCACACACACACACACACACACACACACACACACACACACACATCTCAAGCACCCACCTGTACAGGAGTCTGTTGGTATCGCACGGAACACAGAGGCATAATTGCGTTATCTTCCTGACGGTGACGTGAGAGGTCGTGCTGCTGCTGTTGCTGCAGCTGCTGCATAGAGTTGCCTGGGTCAGCTACAGCGTCGTGAGGAACCACTATGACTGGAGAAGCCAGCTTGACAGCGTAGGTGGCGGTGGTGGCGGGGTCAGGGGAGCGCCACCCCCTCACCTGGGAAAGCTTGGTGTCCCTGACATGCACGGTGAGGGGCAGTTCTGGCATCCACACGGTGAAGGAGGCAGAGCCGGTGAGGATGTCGTAGCGGGCAACCACCGTAGCGTTGTGACTGCCACGCACCTCTGATCCGTCCAGGTATACTGACGTACATGATGCTGACACCTGCCGTAGCAATTATTAGTATTATTATTAAGTGTAATTATTATTATTATTATTAAGAAAGCTTTAAATCCGCAGGGGTCACACAACGCCTGGGTAATGGGAGATCATCAGGTCTGAGCCAAGGAAAAGGATTTTCCTGCCTTGGATCAAGCGACCTCCTCCTTGAAAGAGGGAAACATTTTGAGTAATGTACCTGGGGAAGTTGTACCATGAGTTGTACCATGACACTCAGTGAGTTGTACCATGGGAAGAGGTGGAAGTTGTGGAGGTGGAGGTTGTGGAGGTGGAGGTTGTGGAGGTGGAGGTTGTGGAGGTGAAGGTTGTGGAGGTGGAGGTTGTGGAGGTGGAAGTTGTGGAGATGGAGGTTGTGGAGGTGGAGGTTGTGGAGTGGAGTTGGGAGGTGAAGTTGTGGAGGTGGAGGTTGGGAGGTGGAGTGGGGGTAGGTGTGGAGTGGAGGTTGTGGAGAGTGTGGAGGTTTGTGGAGGTGGAGGTTGTGGAGGTGGAGGTTGTGGAGGTGGAGGTTGTGGAGGTGGAGGTTGTGGAGGTGGAGGTTGTGGAGGTGGAGGTTGTGGAGGTGGAGGTTGTGGAAGTGGAGGTTGTGGAGGTGGGGTTGTGGAGGTGAAGGTTGTGGAGGTGGAGGTTGGGAGGAGGTTGGGAGGTGAAGGTTGTGAGGTGGAGGTTGTGGAGGTGGAGGTTGTGGAGGTGAAGGTTGTGGAGGTGGAGGTTGTGGAAGTGGAGGTTGTGGAGGTGGCGGTTGTGGAGGTGGCGGTTGTGGAGGTGGAAGTATGGAGGTGGAGGTTGTGGAGGTGGAAGGTTGTGGAGATGGAGGTTGTGGAGGTGTGGAGGGGTTGTGGAGGTGGAGGTTGGGGAGGTGGAGGTTGGGGAGGTGGAGGTTGTGGAGGTGCGGTTTGGAGGTGGGTTGTGGAGGTGGAGGTTGGGGAGGTGGAGGTTGGGGAGGTGGAGGTTGTGGAGGTTGGAGGTGTGGAGGCTGTGGAGGTGGAGGTTGTGGAGGTGGAAGGTGGGAGGTGGAGGTTGGGGAGGTGGAGGTTGTGGAACTGGAGGTTGTGGAGGTGGAGGTTGGGAAGGTGGAGGTTGTGGAGGTGGAGGTTGGGTGGGGGTTGTGGAGGTTGGGGGGTGGAGTTGTGGAGGTGGAGGTTGTGGAGGTGGAGATTGGGGAGGTGGAGGTTGTGGAGGTGGAGGTTGTGGAGGTGGAGGTGTAGAGGTTGTGGAGGTGGAGGTTGTGGAGGTGGAGGTTGTGGAGGTGGAGGTTGTGGTGGAGGTGGAGTGAGTTGTGGAGGTGGAGGTTGGGAGGTGGAGGTTGTGGAGGTGGAGGTTGTGGAGGTGGAGGTTGTGGAGGTGGAGGTTGTGGAGGTGGAGTTGTGGAGGTGGGTGTGGGCGTTTGGAGGTGGCGGTTGTGGAGGTGGAGGTTGTGGAGGTGGAGGTTGGGGAGGTGGAGGTTGTGAAGGTGGAGGTTGTGGAGGTGGAGGTTGTGGAGGTGGAGGTTGGGGAGGTGGAGGTTGTGGAGGTGGAGGTTGTGGAGGTGGAGGTTGTGGAGGTGGAGGTTGTGGAGGTGGAGGTTGTGGAGGTGGAGGTTGGGGAGGTGGGGTTGGGGAGGTGGAGGTTGTGGAGGTGGAGGTTGTGGAGGTGGAGGTTGGGGAAGTGGAGCTTGGGGAGGTGGAGGTTGTGGAGGTGGAGGTTGTGGAGGAGATGGAGGTTGTGGAAGAGATAGAGGTTGTGTAGTGCATCGGGTAGAGGAGGAGGTGGAGTGTTACCTTGAGGGCGGCCTCCTCGGTGCAGTTACAGGAGGACTGGAGGGTGACGTCAGCAACCTTGCCGGCCTGAGACACTATCAGTACCTTCATGGCTCGTGACACCTGACGCCCCGTCAGCACAGCAGTGTTCACCACCGACCAGCTCTGTAACGACCACACGGGGTTAGTTCACTGTCAGCACCACCGTCAGTACCATACACACACATGAAGACTGAGACAGGCTACAAAAAGACTGAGACAGACTAAACAAACACTCAAACTACATAAAGACAGACAGGCTACAAGAGTAGTTAGATAAGTGCCTACTGGAGTTAAATTAAAAAAAATAAGGTCATGAAAATTATAGTGTAGAAGTACCGGTTAAATAAGAAGTAAGAACTGGGAGGAAGAAAAGTGGCAAGATTAAAAAAAAGGACGTGAAAGTAATCATTACATCGAATATATCGCCAGAGTTGCATGCAAACTATAACATTAGTAGTGCATGCGAGGGTTGTCAGATCTTAGAGTTACGTTCAGAAACTTTGGTAAAGAATCATGTTCGACACTGTACACGGTGACTTCAGGTAAACTTCAGGCATGGCGTTATAGTGTTATCCTGATTTACAGACGATGTAAAGTTAATGCGGAGAATTCAAGCGGATGAGGATCAGGTAGGACTACGAAAGGATCTGGACATGCTGCAAGCGTAGTCCAACAACTGGCTCCTCGAGTTTAACCCCACCAAGTACAAAGTCATGAAGATTGGGGTTGGTCAAAGAAGACCGCAGACAGAGTATAGGCTAGGTGGCCAAAGACTGCAAACGTCACTCATGGAAAAGGATCTTGGGGTGAGTATCATACCGAGCACATCTCCTGAGGCGCACATCAACCAAATAACTGCTGCAGGATACGGGCGCCTGGTATACCTAAGAATAGCGTTTTGACATTTAAGCAAAGAATCGTTCAAGACTGTACACCCTGTACGTCAGGTCCATATTTTAGTAAGCAGAACCAGTTTGGAACCCACACCTGGTCAGCACGTCAAAAAAATAGAGAAAGTGAAAAGGTTTGCAACAAGACTAGTTCCGGAGCTAAGGGATATGTCCTACGAGGAAAGATTAACGGAAAGCGACCTGACGACACTGGAGGACAGGAGATATAAGGAGGACATGATAGCGCCATATAAAATACTGAGAGGAATTGATAAAGTGGAAAGGGACAGGATGTTTCAGAGAAGGGACACAGCAACAAGAGGTCACAATTGGAAATTGAAGACTGAGATGAATCACACTGAGGTATTAAGAAGCATTTCTTCAGTCATAGAGTTGTCAAGAAGTGGAACAATCTGGTGAGTGATATAGTGGAGGTAGGATTCATACATAGCTTTAAGAAGAGATACGATAAAGCTCACAGAGCAGGGAGAGAGTGGACCTAGTAGCGACCAGCGATGAGGCGGGGCCAGGATCTGTGAATCGACCCCTGCAATCCCAAATAGGTAAGTTCACACCGTCACACACACACACATACACACACACACACACACACACACACACACACCCTCACACACATACACCATAACACACACACACACACACCCTCACACACATACACCATAACAAACACACACACACACACACATACACACACACATACACACACACATACACACACACATACACACACACACACACACACACACACCCTCAGACACACACACCCTCAGACACATACACCCTAACAAACACACACACACACAAACACACACACACACAAACACACACACACACACACACACACGAGGAGAGGTTAAGGGAAATCAACCTGACGACACTGGAGGACAGGAGAGATAGGGGGGACATGATAACGACATACAAAATACTGAGAGGAATTGACAAGGTGGACAAAGACAGGATGTTCCAGAGATTGGACACAGTAACAAGGGGACACAGTTGGAAGCTGAAGACACAGATGAATCACAGGGATGTTAGGAAGTATTTCTTCAGCCACAGAGTAGTCAGTAAGTGGAATAGTTTGGGAAGCGATGTAGTGGAGGCAGGATCCATACATAGCTTTAAGCAGAGGTATGATAAAGCTCACGGCTCAGGGAGAGTGACCTAGTAGCGATCAGTGAAGAGGCGGGGCCAGGAGCTCGGACTCGACCCCCGCAACCTCAACTAGATGAGTACAACTAGGTGAGTACACACACACACACACACCCTCACACACATACACCCTAACAAACACACACGCACACACACACACACAAACACTCACACACATACACCCTAACAAACACACACGCACACACACACACACACCCACACACACACACACACACACACACACACACACACACACACACACACACACACACAGCCTCACACACACACGGAGGCAACAACGGGTCATGGTACGTGATGAGGTATCACAGTGGGCGCCTATGATGAGCGGGGTCCCACAGGGGTCAGTCCTAGGATCAGTGCTATTTTTGGTACATGTGAATGACATGATGGAAGGGATAGACTCAGAAATGTCCCTGTTCGCACATGATGTGAAGTTAATTAAGAGAATTAAATCCGATGAAGATCAGGCAGGACTTCAAAGAGACCTGGACAGGCTGGACACGTGGTCCAGCAACTGGCTTCTCGAATTCAACCTCGCCAAATGTAAAGTCATGAAGATTGGGGAAGGGCAAAGAAGACCGCAGACAGAGTATAGGCTAGGAGGCCAAAGACTGCAAACCTCACTCAAGGAGAAAGATCTTGGGGTGAGCATAACACCGAGTACGTCTCCGGAAGCACACATCAACCAGATAACTGCTGCAGCATATGGGCGCCTGGCAAACCTGAGAATAGCGTTCCGACACATTAGTAAGGAATCATTCAAGACACTGTACACTGTGTACGTCAGGTCCATACTGGAGTATGCAGCACCTGTTTGGAACCCACACCTGGTCAAGCACGTCAAGAAATTAGAGAAAGTGCAAAGGTTTGCAACAAGGTTAGTTCCGGAGCTCAGGGGAATGTCCTACGAAGAAAGGTTGAGAGAAATTGGCCTGACGACACTGGAGGACAGGAGGTTTAGGGGAGACATGATAACGACATACAAAATACTGCGTGGAGTAGATAAGGTGGACAGAAATAGGATGTTTCAGAGAGGGGACACAGAAACAAGGGGTCACAATTGGAAGCTGAAGACTCAGACGAGCCAAAGGGATGTTAGGAAGTATTTCTTCAGTCATAGAGTTGTCAGGAAGTGAAATAGTCTAGCAAGTGATGTAGTGGAGGCAGGACCCATACATAGCTTTAAGACGAGGTATGATAAAGCTCAGGGAGCAGAGAGTGGATCTAGTAGTGATCAGTGAAGAGGCGGGCCAGGACTGGTAATCGACCCCCTGCAAACCATAATTGAGGGTGAGTACAACAACACACCACACCATACACACATACAAACACCATAACACACACACAACATACATACACAAACACACTGCGACCAACACGACAGACAGACAGACCGACAGACAGACAGACACACAACACACACACACACACACCCAAACACACACACCACATAACCACACACCTCAACACACACAGAACAACACACAACACACACACACCACCAACACACACACACAGACACACAACACACACACTACACAGACACACACACACACACACACACACACACACACAGCAGGTGTGAAGTGGTGGGATGGGCAGGAAACCTGTCACACCAAACTCAACCTCACCAAAATGTCTCCACTACTACCTTCCCACTATACACTCAGCAACCACCCTCAAAATACAGTGAGCGAGTGTTGAGAATATAGTCAGAGGGTGATACAGAATGTGAGGGGACACAGTGAGAGTGAAGAAGAGGAGCCCGGGACAGTGCTACCACCCTCCTACACGGGTGAGACAGACAGCTGCCACCACCCTCCTACACAGGAGACAGACAGCTGCTACCACCCTCCTACACAGAGAAGACAGACAGCTGCTACCACCCTCCTACACAGTGAGACAGAACAGCTGCTACCACCCACCTACACAGTGAAGACAAGACAGCTGCTACCCCCTCCCTACACAGTGAGACAGACGTCCCTACACCCTCCTACACAGTGAGACAGACAGCTGCTCCACCCTCCTACACAGGGGAAACAGCCAGCTGATCCCACCTCCTACACAGTGAAAAGCCAGCTGCACAGCGTACACCCTACACAGTGAAACAGCACAGCTGCTACCACCCTCCTACACAGTGAGACAGACAGCTGCTACCACCCTCCTACACAGTGAAACAGCACAGCTGCTACCACCCTCCTACACAGTGAGACAGACAGCTGCTACCACCCTCCTACACAGTGAGACAGACAGCTGCTACCACCCTCCTACACAGTGAAACAGCCAGCTGCTACCACCCTCCTACACAGTGAAACAGCCAGCTGCTACCACCCTCCTACACAGTGAAACAGCCAGCTGCTACCACCTCCTACACAGTGAAACAGCACAGCTGCTACCACCCTCCTACACAGTGAGAGACAGCTGCTACCACCCTCCTACACAGTGAGACAGACAGCTGCTACCACCCTCCTACACAGTGAGACAGACAGCTGCTACCACCCTCCTACACAGTGAGACAGCCAGCTGCTACCACCCTCCTACACAGTGAGACAGCCAGCTGCTACCACCCTCCTACACAGTGAGACAGACAGCTGCTACCACCCTCCTACACAGTGAGACAGCCAGCTGCTACCACCTCCTACACTGAGGCAGCCAGCTGCTACCACCTCCTACACAGTGAGACAGACAGCTGCTACCACCCTCCTACACAGTGAGACAGCCAGCTGCTACCACCTCCTACACTGAGGCAGCCAGCTGCTACCACCTCCTACACAGTGAGACAGACAGCTGCTACCACCCTCCTACACAGTGAGACAGCTGCTACCACCCTCCTACACAGTGAGACAGACAGCTGCTACCACCCTCCTACACAGTGAGACAGCCAGCTGCTACCACCTCCTACACTGAGGCAGCCAGCTGCTACCACCTCCTACACAGTGAGACAGACAGCTGCTACCAGCCTCCTACACAGTGAGACAGCCAGCTGCTACCACCTCCTACACTGAGGCAGCCAGCTGCTACCACCTCCTACACAGTGAGACA